GCCCACAGGGGTCCCTCCAGCACTGGGGCTGGCGCGCTTGGATTTGGCCACCACGGCGGCCCCGTAAAGCCGCACACCAGAGGTCAGTCTTGCCTAGGCCCACCCTTGCGCGCAGCCGGAGCAGGAAACGGCATGAACATAATTGTCGTCTGTTTTTGTCGTTTGTTTTGGCACCCCCCAGCGACGGAGAGGATCATCGGGAGCCTTCGGGGAGGATCGTGATCAGCAGGGATTGGGGGGGGGGGGGGCGCCGCCGCCCCGCCCCGGGCGTGGGGCGCCCTTCGAGAGCGGGAAAGGGGCTCGACCAGGGACAGCAGAGCAGCACGGGGGGGGGGGATAGCCCCCGTGGGAGCTCGAAGAACAAGAAGCGGCATACACACCAAACTTCGCTGAGGTCCGCGCGGACTTCTCGGATCGGCGCTGGGCGCCAGGGGCGGCGCCTTTGGCGCCGCCCCTGGCGCGCTCCGCGCGCCAGGGAGGGGTTCCAGCGCCGATCCAAGAAATCCGCCCGGACCTTCGAAACAAAAACCATAAATTATGTTTATGTTGTCCTGCGTTCCTGCTGCCAAGCACGTCTCGCAAGAGGTCTAGGCTCTGATGTGTATATATATATATATATATACGTATATATAGATATACAAGATTTCATGAGCGCGCTGAGCGCGCCGTCGAAGCTTGGTCTTCTTTTCAAACGCGAGCTTTGAGAATAATTGCGTGGGGCGCCTCGAACTGGTGTTCGCGCAGGAGCGCATGGATAGGCACAGCGGCGGTTGCACACATACAGGCACGCGCGCTCAAAGACAGGCGTTCGGACAAGATTGCGGCGTCGGAAGTAATGGCAAGCTCCAGGGTGGGGGGCGCTTTCCGCGCATGAAGCGGGCGGACATTCGGTTACGTGGCGTTGAACGTCATCTTGGGGGGGGAAGTCTCGAAGTGTCAGTGCGTATTCCCTGTCTTGGACAACTGTTGAGGCCTTTCGTGGGCCGTCTTGGAGGCCCCTGGGGAGGTCTTGGAGCTTCTTCGGTCGTCTTGGGACCCTCCTGGGGGCCTCATGGGCCATCTTGGGCCGATGTTGGACGCTTCTTGGGCCTAGGGAATCTTCCGAAGGTTCGGGGAGCCATGGGGGGGCCTCCGAATGCCCTGGGGAGTGTCCAGACGACGGCGGGCGCTTGGCCTGGCACGTCGCGCCGGCCTTGGGAGCGAGGTTTATTTTCCCCCTGACGGGACTGCTCCGTGCCTCTGGAAAGCCATCGGGCAAGAAACCGTGCACGGTCGGTCCGCGGCGGAATGAGGCTGGGTTGGGGGTCGCACGCTGTCGCTCAGCGGCGGTTGGGCTTCTTGGCGATGGTTTTGGCGATCCGAGGCATTTGAGGAACTTTGTCAGGCGTTCTTGAATGCTCTGCTGGGGCCGATGGGGGCATCTCGGAAGCTTTTTGGAGGTCTGCTGGGGCCTTTTGGGAACGTCTCGTAGGCCTCTGGGGCTCTCGGGGTCATCTTGGGGTGGCGAGCTCGGGGAACCCCTCCGAGTTCCTCGTCTTGGGCCTCTGCTGGGGCCATATTGGGGTTCTCTCGGGCTCGTCCTGGGGGCCCTTGGGGTCATCTTGGGGCGCTCATGAGCGCTCTTAAAGCGTTTGGGGGCTTCTTGGGCTGTCTTTGGGCGATCTTGAGGGGTCCTTGGGCGGTTCGGGACGCTCTGAAATCGAAGAAACGAATGTTTCTGGAAATCAAAATGTTCCCAAAGAGTTGGGATGATGTTTGCGTCTGGAGCCCTTTTGGGGGTCATCTTGGGGCTTGCGTGAAGTCTATTTGAGGTCTTGCGGTGTGTATTGACGCCAGCGCGCGACCGCCCAGGGCGTCTTGGCCGTCGGAGGAGCCGTTGAAACGATCGGGGTCCGTCGCGGAGCCGTGTTGAAAGCGCCGGGTGCGCGCGCAGGGGCCCGAAAGTCGTTAGGTGCCGGAGGGGTGAGGCCATCCCAGGGGATATTATGTTAGGAGAAGGAATGTGTGCATATATACATATATATACATGTATGCATGTACAGATGTCTGTATGTATGTATGTATGAATGAATGTATGTATGTTTGTGTGTATATATCTAGACATACCCCAAACAGTGTTTGCTCTCAGGAGTTTTTCCGTCCGCTCTGGGAACTGGGAGGGGCTGTCGGCTTGGCGTCTATGTTGTCGCCGTCGCCGCCCCGTCACCGCCTCGTCGTCGCCCGTCGTCTGGGGGCGGTTGTCCGTCTGGCGGCAAGATTGTCGCCGTCGCCGCCGCATCGCAACCTCGTCACCGCCGGTCGTCTGGGCCTGATTGTCGGTCCGGCGGCTATGCTGTCACCGTCGCCGCCCCGTCGCTTGCACAACTTAGATTGCACAGCAGATATTGCACCACACAGGATGCGCCACATAGATTCTTCTTTCTGAGAAGAGAATAGATTACACCCACCCACCCCGGGATTATCGGTACCCCTTGTCGTTTTGCAAGCTGCAGATGGCTTCGCGTCACCGCCCATCCTAAAAAATAGTTCATACCATCCCAGCCAGGCCAGTATCGACCCCCCGCGCCATCCTCTGCAGAAAAGATAGTACGCGCGAACAGTCGTTTGTAAAGAAGCATCCATTTGCCAGAACCACATGCAAAATATTTCGCAAAGTGTGCACGCGCGCGTTGTCGCGCGCGCGTGCCGAAATCCTTCAAAAACGCTCGGTCCCGTAAAGATGTCAAAATCGAGTGTCCAAAAAACAAATATGATCCAATGGTTTCGCAGCAAGGATTTTCTCAACCCAAGAAAACTTGCGCGCGTTCTTGCCAATTCTTAAGGAAACCCTAGTTTTCATAATTTTCAGAAACTGCTACCAAACGGGCTTCGCGCGCGCATGTCGATATCGTTCGAGCGCCCTTTCGCGCATGTTGTCGTGAGAATCCTTTGTAACAGTTGAGACGAAGTGCACGCGCGCGCGCGTCGTCGCGTGCGCATGCCGACACGCTTCCAAAACCTCCGATTCCGTAAGGAATCGAGTGTCCAAACAAACAAATACAAAAAAAACATGGTTTCGCAACATCAGGTTTCAAGCAAAATGGAGCTCGCGCTCATGCGGATGCCCAAGGAAACCATAAGTTGTTGAACATGTTCATTGAATTCTGCCAAACGAGCCATTCGCGCCGCATGTCGAGATCATCCGAACGCCCCTGTACGCGTGCTGGGGGGCACGATCCGCGTCAAGGAATACCATGCGGGTTACTCGCGTGCCGGCCGCGCGCGCACCTCGAACTCAAAACCTCCATCACCGACGCGAGAACGCCATTATCGTCGTCGGCATGATCAGCATCGGCGCCGTCACGGGCCGTGCCGTCGCCGCTGTCATGATCGTTACCAGCAATGTTGCCATGATACCGGGCCCGCCCAATTCGCCGATTCGCATTGAAGTGCCCGCTGGGATGTGCCCAGCAGTCAGCGCCACCGCGGCCGCGTCGGTCGCGCCAAACTAGCTGGCTGGCGCGCGAGCATGCGCGGGCTAGCGCGGCCGCAGAGATGCACCAGCCAACACCAAGCACTCATCGCAATCGCCGCCGCATGGGTTCTGTAAACCAAGTTGCGGGTGGGTGGGTGAGATGATTGCGCGAGCAGCGGGGTTGACAACTCACTGCGAACAGAAATTAATTTTCCTTTCTAAAAAATATGTTCTACCACCCTCCCCCCCCGGACTTACGGATCCCCCTTTTCGCATTGCAATTTACATACGATTATGCCCCATCGCCCATCCGAATTTTGAATTGACACTCCCAGGGGGGCCGGTATCGCCCCCCCCGCCATCCTCTGCAAAAAGCTATGCGCGCACACTCGTTTATCAAAAATCATAAGTTTTGAAGAATCCCTTGCGAGAAGAGGACGAAGTGCACACGTGCGCGTCGTCGCGCACGCATACCGGAAACCTTCAAAAACCGTCGGTTTCGCAACGATTTCAAAAAGCGAGTGTCCAAAAAACATACAAAAGCCTAGGGTTCCGCAGCACGGATGTTCTAAAAAAGTTTGCGCGCGCTCCTACGAAATCTTAAGAAAACCATAGGTTTTTCAAGCTGTTCAGAAAATGCTACCAAACGGGCTTCGCGCGCGAATGTCGAAATCGTTCCAACGCCCTTCCGCGCGTGCCGTCGCGAGAATCCTCTGCAAAAAAGAAGACGAAGTGCACACGCGCGCGTCGTCGCGCGCGCATGCCGAAATCCTTCAAGAACCTTCAGTTTCGGAAGGATCTCAAAATTGAGTGCCCCAAAAACATACAATAACACAGGGTTTCGCAACACTGGTTTTCAACACATGCGTGCGCGCGCACTCTTGCGTCGTCGTCGTCGTCGTCGCCGCCGCCCTCCCTCCTCCCTCGTCGTCGTCGTCGTCGTGCTCTGTCTTTCCTCATCGTCGTCGGCGTCGTCCTCTTTGGCGTCGTCGTGTTTCCGTCGTCGTTGTCGCCGCGGTCGTCCTTCCTCCGTCGTCGTCGTCGTCCGTCGTCGTCGGTGTCTCGCCGTCGTCCCTCTTATTTCGTCGCCGTCGTCGTCGTCGTCGTCTTTCCTCCTCCCTCGTCGTTGTCGTCGTCGGCGTCGCCGTTCTCCCTCATTCTTCGTCGTTCGCGTCGTGGCCGTCCTCCCGTCACCCTCGTCACTCGTCGTTATCGTCGTTGTCGCCGTCGTTGTCCTCCCTCCTCCGTCGTCGGCGTCTTCGTTGGCGACGTCGTCGTCGTCGTCGTCGGCGTCGTCGTCGTCATCGGCGTCGTCATCGTCGTCGGCGTCGACGTCGTCGGCGTCGTCATCGTCGTCGTCGTCGGCGTCGGCGTCGGCGTCGTCGGTGTCGTCGTCGTTGTCGTCGTCGTCGAAGTCGTCGGAGTCGTCGTTGGTGTCGTCGTAGTCGTCGGCGTCGTCGTCGTTGTCGCTGTCGTCGTCGGCGTCGGTATCGTTGCCAAGTGCCGTTGTCGGTTTCGACGGCAACGTAACCTTACCTGACAATTT